AGTTAGAGCAAAGGAAGGGGTAGCAGTAATGTTGAAGGATCAGTTATGGAAGGAGAAAAGAGAATATGAATGTGTAAATTCAAGAATTATGTGGATTAAAGTAAAGGCTTGGATGTGAAAAGTGGGTCATAATAAGCGTGTATGCACCTGGAGAAGAGAGGAATGTAGAGGAGAGAGAGAGAGATTTTGGGAGATGTTAAGTGAATGTATAGGAGCCTTTGAACCAAGTGGTAGGGGATCTGAATGCTAAAGTAGGAGAAACTTTTAGAGAGGGTGTGGTAGGTAAGTTTGGGGTGCCAGGTGTAAATGATAATGGGAGCCCTTTGATTGAACTTTGTATAGAAAGGGGTTTAGTTATAGGTAATACATATTTTAAGAAAAAGAGGATAAATAAGTATACAAGATATGATGTAGGGCGAAATGACAGTAGTTTGTTGGATTATGTATTGGTAGATAAAAGACTGTTGAGTAGACTTCAGGATGTACATGTTTATAGAGGGGCCACAGATATATCAGATCACTTTCTAGTTGTAGCTACACTGAGAGTAAAAGGTAGATGGGGTACAAGGAGAATAGAAGCATCAGGGAAGAGAGAGGTGAAGGTTTATAAACTAAAAGAGGAGGCAGTTAGGGTAAGATATAAACAGCTATTGGAGGATAGATGGGCTAATGAGAGCATAGGCAATGGGGTCGAAGAGGTATGGGGTAGGTTTAAAAATGTAGTGTTAGAGTGTTCAGCAGAAGTTTGTGGTTACAGGAAAGTGGGTGGCGGGAGGAAAGAGGAGCGATTGGGGGAATGATGATGGAAAGAGAGCAGTAAGGGAGAAAAAGTTAGCATATGAGAAGTTTTTACAAAGTAGAAGTGATGCAAGGAGGGAAGGTATATGGAGAAAAAGAGAGAGGTTAAGAGAGTGGTGAAGCAATGTAAAAGAGAGCAAATGAGAGAGTGGGTGAGATGTTATCAAAAAATTTTTTGTTAAAAATAAGAAAAAGTTTTGGAGTGAGATTAACAAGTTAAGGAAGCCTAGAGAACAAATGGATTTGTCAGTTAAAAATAGAAGAGGAGTTATTAAATGGAGAGTTAGAGGTATGGGAAGATGGAGGGAATATTTTGGGAATTGTTTAAATGTTGATGAAGATAGGGAAGCTGTGATTTCGTGTATAGGGCAAGGAGGAATAACATCTTGTAGGAGTTAGGAAGAGCAGTTGTGAGTGTGGGGGAAGTTCGTGAGGCAGTAGGTAAAAGGGAAAGGGCAGCCGGGATTGATGGGTTAAAGATAGAAATGTTAAAAGCGGGTTTGGGGTTATAGTTTTGGAGTGGTTGGTGCAATTATTTAATAAATGTATGGAAGAGGGTAAGGTACCTAGGGATTGGCAGAGAGCATGCATAGTTCCTTTGTATAAAGGCAAAGGGGATAAAAAGAGTGCAAAAATTATAGGGGGAAAAGTCTGTTGAGTATACCTGGTAAAAGTGTATGGTAGAGTTATAATTGAAAGAATTAAGAGTAAGACGGAGAATAGGATAGCAGATGAACAAGGAGGTTTTTAGGAAAGGTAGGGGGTGTGGGGGACCAGGTGTTTACAGTGAAACATAAAGTGAACAGTATTTAGATAAGGCTAAAGGGGTCTTTGTGGCATTTATGGATTTGGAAAAGGCATATGACGGGTGGATAGGGGGGGAATGTGGCAGATGTTGCAGGTGTATGGTGAGGAGGTAGGTTATTGAAAGCAGTGAAGAGTTTTTACGAGGTAGTGAGGCTCAAATTAGAGTATGTAGGAAAGAGGGAAATTTTTCCCAGTAAAAGTAGGCCTTAGACAAAGGGTGTGTGATGTCACCGTGGTTGTTTAATATATTTATAGATGGGGTTGTAAAAGAAGTAAATGCGAGGGTCTTGGCAAGAGGGGTGGAGTTAAAAGATAAAGGAATCACACACAAAGTGGGAGTTGTCACAGCTGCTCTTTGTGATGACACTGTGCTCTTGGGAGATTTGAAGAAAAAGTTGCAGAGATTGGTGGATGAATTTGGTAGGGTGTACAAAAGAAGAAAATTAAAGGTGAATACAGGAAAGAGTAAGGTTATGAAGATAACAAAAAGATTAGGTGATGAAAGATTGGATATCAGATTGGAGGGAGAGAGTATGGAGGAGGTGAACGTATTCAGATATTTGGGAGTGGACGTGTCAGCGGATGGTTCTATGAAAGATGAGGTGAATCATAGAATTGATGAGGGAAAAGAGTGAGTGGTGCACTTAGGAGTCTGTGGAGACAAAGAACTTTGTCCTTGGAGGCAAAGAGGGGAATTGTATGAGAGTATGTTTTACCAATGCTCTTATATGGGTGTGAAGCATGGGTGATGAATTTGCAGCGAGGAGAAGGCTGGAGGCAGTGGAGATGTCATGTCTGAGGGCAATGTGTGGTGTGAATATAATGCAGAAAATTTCGTAGTTGGAAGTTAGGAGGAGGTGCGGGATTCCCAAAAAACTGTTGTCCAGAGGGCTGAGGAAGGGTTCTTGAGGTGGTTCGGACATGTAGAGAGAATGGAGCGAAACGAGATGACTTCAAAGAGTGTATCAGTCTGTAGTGGAAGGAAGGCGGGGTAGGGGCCCCTTTGGAAAGGTTGGAGAGGGGGGGAAAAGGAGGTTTGTGTGCGAGGGGCTTGGACTTCCAGCAGGCATGCTGAGCGTGTTGATAGGAGTGAATGGAGACAAATGGTTTTTTAATACTTGACGTGCTGTTGAGTGTGAGCAAAGTAAACATTTATGAAGGGGTTCAGGGAAACCGGCAGGCCGGACTTGAGTCCTGGAGATGGGAAGTACAGTGCCTGCACTCTGAAGGAGGGGTGTTAATGTTGCAGTTTAAAAACTGTAGTGTAAAGCACCCTTCTGGCAAGACAGTGATGGAGTGAATGATGGTGAACGTTTTTTTTTTTCGGGCCACCCTGCCTTGGTGGGAATCGGCCAGTGTGATAATAAAATAAAAATATAGAAAACAATGAGAAATAAATATAAAGCACTAATGAAATGGATAAATGAACATTTAACACAACTTTTACCTTATTGAAGACTTGTTGGCATATGGAGGGAGGAGAGTTTATTGTTTGGAGACAGGACAAAATAAATAAACATGATGCTAATATCAACTCTATGGCTTATTTATCACAATTTATTTAATATGACATTAAACAATATTAATAACATAGAAACATTACGTATGTGACCAGTGGTGGTGGTGTTGGGTTTATCATAGCCACTGACAGCATAAGCCATAGTGGTGGGCCACCACCACTAGTCACACTGAAACACTATGTAATTTATAAATTAAAAATAATTTTAAAATTGTATAAAAACATAATAGAGAATGTAAAGAAATATAGTTGTTGAGAATGTAAAGAAATAGTGGTTATTGAGATGCTGGCAGAGGTTTAGGGTGGTGGAAGATATGCAGGGCAGCATATGTTTTCAGTGGCCCTATATACCTCCAACAACACTGGAAGATTTAGTCGTCCTTTTTCTATTGCTTAATGCTTAACTTACTTGCTACGCTGTTAATGCTACACTCTATCGCTGGCTGGTACTACAGCCTTTATCGACTCCTGCTGCTTTAGTATCATACATATCGTACAATCACTGAAGAAGGCACATTCTCCCCACTCTCTCAGCCCTTTACCAAAGGGCTGCTGGCACTAGGAACTTTCTTTGGGCCCGTGGTGGCTTATTTTGCAGTCACAATACAAAAGCACAAAAATTGCAAAGTGTTTCCGATGAATGCTCACTCAACCAGTGACAGAGCCAGATTGAAGCGGTGTCCCGGCAGGTGGATGCTTCTGATACGTGCGATTCCCAGGACAAGGTCTGAATTTCAAAGCAAAATTTCACATGAAAGTGTTTGAAATCCGGAAAATCTGATATCCAATGCGTGCGAAATCTAGGGTTCCACTGTATTCATGGGGGAAACGATGAACCTGTAGGGGTGTATAGCTCTTGGAAAATAGAAGGAAATATGGTTCGATCTAAGAGAGCAACTCTAATTCCTTGGATTGAGCCCTTCACTAACATCAAGGATATGTATTTTTCCGGTGTATTATTGTGATAATCATATAAAAAGCACCAAACCAGCATGGTTTATGCAGCACCTAGTGAATGGGAGGTAATCAGTTTTTGAGAAAGGGGAACGTAGCTCAAATTCTTTGACTCAAGAACCCTTTGTTGGGTCTTATGGTATAGTATACATATTCGAATAAAAACTTTTTTTTTTTTTTTTTTGTGATTTAGTATAATAATGACTCAAGAAATCGTAATGACACGATTGCAAACAAACCATACCCCCGGCCGGGATTGAACCCGCGGTCATAGTCTCAAAACTCCAGCCCGTCGCGTTAGCCACTAGACCAGCTAGCCACAATAAGATTCATCCAACTAGGTATATTTCTACACCATAGGCCCTTGTGGCTTAGCGCTTCTTTTTGATTATAATAATAATCTACACCATAGGAAGGTTAGCACAGGCACCTCTGTGACCACAAATGCAAGTTTTTACAGATGAATCTCCAGCTAGCGTGGCCGTGACGAACTCTAGCTCAAGTCCCTTCACTGCTAGAGTTCGTCACGGCCACGCTAGCTGGAGATTCGTCTGTAAAAACTTGCATTTGTGGTCACAGAGGTGCCTGTGCTAACCTTCCTATGGTGTAGAAATATACCTAGTTGGATGAATCTTATTGTGGCTAGCTGGTCTAGTGGCTAACGCGACGGGCTGGAGTTTTGAGACTATGACCGCGGGTTCAATCCCGGCCGGGGTTATGGTTAGTATAATAATATTCATGTTCAACACCTAACTCTTAGTAGGCCATGTAAGACCTAGGGAGATAAAAGGTAGTCAAGTTTGACTCAAGGAAGGTAAGGGGAGGGTAGCTTCAGTTCCTTGGACCAAGTGCTTTTTATCAGCATTAAGGCATCACTCGCTGAAGGGAGTGATTTAGTATGAAGGATAAGAAAAGAGTGTAGTATGAATGCAGCACTTGTATTTGGTGACTGTGCTTCCAGACTGTCATGTTGACCAAACTTCTTCACAACCTCAGCTTTAAAGGCTCAAACCTTGACAGTTTATTTTCAATCAAATAATTATATGAAAAGTGATTAGTCATTTGGATAGAAAAATAAATATGGGTTTAAAAAGATGTGTATATTTCAGCCTCAGAGATCATCTTCAGCGTATCTTTAACTGAAGTAAAAATTTACAGTTTTTTCCACCCATGTTTCATTTTTCCATCCAAATGGCTTCTCATCTTTCATTGATCAGTATTTATGACACTTAAATCCAAGCATTTACTTGTATATTTATAAATAAAGCACCCCATGAAATGGAGCTCATGTAGATGCTATACAAAATATTGTGCATTTGTACATAGAACAGCACATCGGCACTGACAGAGTTGCTTTACAAGTTATATGAATAAAATGATAGGAATTGCATATGAAGATTTGACTCCAACTGGATAAAAAATCTGTTAGTTTCTCTTTACTAATAATGCCCTAAGCCCTGTATTTTAATTTTTATCATCAATGATTCATCTGTCCATGGTTACAGCTCTCCTCAAAAGTTTCTGTTTTTTCCCAAATATTAGCCGTTCTCCAGTCAACTTTCAAAGGAACAAGAATGTCTTATGCACTTGGCTGCAGGTTGTGACATCAATATGACTTGAAAACCTTGGGAACAATCTAGGTTCTTATTTTTCATGTGTATTTGTTAGTGTGAATGTATATGTACGTGTGCACATTGTGTGTATGCATATGTGCTAAAGCATGTGTGTGAATGTAGTGACTTTTCATTGGTCCATTAACTTAAACACTACTTAAGGGAAGTATCTGGTATGTTGCCATTCCTCTACACATTGACAACAAATAACAAACAGTTGAGAAAACAATACAACTGAGTTAGTTCCAATTCAACAGGCATAATCTCTTAGTGTACCGGTGACATATTGAAAGGCTCAGACGAGCCAAAAATCACTGAAACTGACTCTTATTGCTCTCTACACTTTTCACACTTCAATAACGATCATCTGATGTCAGTTGGCAGAGAGAAGGCAAACAATAAGCTCAATAAGTAACTTGTTTTGTGAAAATATAGCTTGAAAATTGTACTGGTAGACTTAAAAATATATTTAGTACTGGTTTGCTCTCTCTCCTACTGACAATGAGAAAAAACTCTCTGATGAACATGTAAGTGGAACTTGAAATATAATATTTCAGGGCAACCATATATTGTGTAAATGTTTTCAAGGTATTGGCCTGACCTCTTACACTGTAGACACATATACTGAATGAAATGTCAAGATAAGAGAGTGGGAATCTGTAGTATGTTAAGAACACTAATTACTCCATTACAGAACAGCTGGTCATAAGTGTGGGAAGGAAATTGTATGTACACCTATTATACACAGCTGACTTCACATAATGACTGAGGTTTAACGTTTTAAAAAAATTACATATAAAAAACATACCTTCTATCCATTAAGAGCATCTAAGGTTCCTATGAAAAATGAATGGAATTCTAGTAATCGTAATCCGAGTCCAACATCAAAAGAACTCCGAGATTATACTACACTAGCCGAAGAGGTTTTGTAATCACCTAACATGATTCATACAGTTCTTTCTGGAAAATACTTTTCACATCCTAAGCCATCCAAAGTGTTATTGAGAAACATTGAGGGAAGAAGCTCAGCCTGAAGGAAACACTTTATGTAGTCAAAGATCAAATGACAACATTAACATCAGTTCTGAGGCATATTACTACCTCAATTCATTTCTTCTTTCATATTAAAAAAGTCTCAGCAATGAGACCACTAGATTCTTGAAATTTATTGTGAATAAAATTTAAGAATACGAAGACATTACATAAATTTTGAAATAGTGCATTTGATATTACTACATGGCAAAACATGGGCTACAACCAACTCTGTGTCATGGCACCTTAAACCTATTACCAAGGCTCAATTTGTGCATTAAATAACAAGTATTCTTTTGTGTATTAAATAAGTATTCTTGAGTGTGTGCTGGATATTCATCATTTATATGACTTGTGTCTTATTTAGATTTTCAATACATCTTAATATTTTATTAATTTTATGATAAAAATACTGTGTATAGTGCAGGTGTCCCTTGCTTTATGCAACAGATGCATTCTCGGCCCATGGCACAAAGTTAATGCACATAGTGAACTCAATATAGCATACAAAATAAAGGGATTCATTCTGAGACTTTGCAAACTCCACATTTCTAGTCTAAAATTTACTTAAAAATTGAGAGATTACCAAACACAACAAACAGTCACATGGAAAAAAAAAAAAGGAATGAATTTCGTTGAAAAAAAAAAAGCAAATGTAAAATCCACAGTTCAATCATAATTTCTAAAATATAAAATCATGGGAAAAATCCACTTTCTTATTTTTACCAAAAAAATTACTAATTATCAGATAGACACCAAACAACCATATATCAAAGATAAATGCAACTTGTCAAAAAAATGAGAAAAAATTAAATCTAAAATTCTAGAAAAAAAATCCTCCCTTTTACCCACATTTACACCAGCCAACAAACCTATCTTTATCTAGATTGAAGTATACATGTTATGAACCTGTGAATACATATATATCTACTATTTCCTTCCTCCACCACTAGTCCTAATCCTGTCAAGGCAATCCAACTTTGTCTGGTTGGGTATCTGTTTTCTTAGGCTTGGCACAAGATAAAGTGAAAACCAACAGTAGGATTTCATTCAAAATATGCTTGTTGGATTTCCCATATCCAAATTGTTTTCTTTCTAGCCATTCTTTATCAAGAATTTCAATATAAATCAGTTTACAGTGATATTTAAAAGTGTGTGTGTTAAAACTCAAATGGTGCTGGGCTTGGGTGATTGCATATGAGCAAATTTATACCACATGTTGCAATAAAGCAAGGGGAACACTGTATTCACAAAAAAATGAAAAAGACATCCAAAATGACAAATAATGAGGTAGTAAGCACATAAACTATCATACCAGGATCATTTATAATATGCAAGACTAGTGATCCATTAAACTCTCTTAAAACTGAGGTGTCACTGGAATGACCTTACGTACAAGGATGATAAAAATATTAATCTATAGCGTAATCTTTCTTTCTTTTTCCAGAAACTTGTCAATATTGCAACTAACCATCAACATAAAGTTTGGCAAGACATTATATGTTATCATGCTTGATGATAAGCGAAATAAAAATTTGAATTTAAAATTTATACAGTAATAGTATTTGGTACCATATATATCATGAATTAAACATAACTAAAGTGTACTAAAATGTAATATTTGCAATACTGTTCAGAATTCAAATATAGGAAAGAATGTTGTACATCTGAAAAAATTTCATAATCCAGAGTTGAGGTCACCCACATTTTAGTTTCCCAAGGAATAAAACCTCAATAATCTGTACATGAGGCAGAGCTTCTTTTTCAAGGAATAGAAAGGCAAGTAAGGACTATGGGGAACTACATCTGCATAGAATATTCTGGCTGTGTTCGAAAAATAATTTGTATATCAACATTTTAGCAAGAACCTAAACGGGCTAGTAGATCTCCAAATGATAAGGAGTGACTGACTTTTCTACAAACTTTGAAAATTTAATATTCTTTGGATTTCAGAGCCACAAAAATGGTAATTACCTTTGCATGTGATAATATGCTGTATTAAATACTAAGTAACAAGAGAACAAGAAAACCTTAAATGGTACTACTATATTTTCTGTCAGGAAAATGTCTCCTGATGCTGGTCTTGTCAGATAACCTCTTAGTAATTAAGCATCCACTGTTATGCCTAACCTAGCACCAATGCTAGGTTTTTAACATTTAAAAACAAAGGCTCACAATTTAGTCTTCTAAAAAAAATTCTTGGTATAGATTAATTGTAAATAGATACCATGACTAGGGCATATTTTATATATTTTAAAATGAGTGTTGTGACTTAGAAACTAAAGCTATTTCTGAATAATGTACTTTGAATGTGCAAGTATTACATTCCTTACCAATTGTTGAAATATCTCCCATTAGAAAATCATTCATATTAATGAAGAAAGAGGAGGAAATTGTCGAACGCAGCCTTTTGTCTTCATTTTCACTTCTGAATTGTCTAATACATTTACCACATATATTTGCATCCATACTTTTACTGATGCTAATGATTATAGTCATATTAAAAATTCAATGAAGTAGCTATATACATTGTTTAACAATAAATGACAGTATCAACATTGGCATATGTCTAATGATTGTTTACAGCTTCAGTTTCTCATCTCCAAACATGATATCACAAAATAATATACACTACTCCAATCACAACAAAGTAAGAAAACCCATATAAAAAGTTCGGCAACCGGGAGGTGATCATGAAAATGTTTCCCAATTGGTAAATAGTTATCTAGGGGATAAAATTATAACATGGCATACATCATGATGAATAAATGAATATTTAAGGATGATATGAGCTATATGTCAAATGAATAACTATAAACACTTCTTATCACAATGTCTTATAATGTGGAAAAAAACTTGGCAGCTAATAACATGGGACTCAACGTAATGTACATGAATACTGGAAAAATATTACATGCATGAACTGATATTTTACATAATTCAAATAATACTAAATGAAGAAATACTGAAAATAAAAATGTTCCCATATGAAATAACTTATTTTGTATCCAGCAGCACGGGGTACAATTATCAATGAAAACTGTAAAAGAAAGAGTAATAAATATACTAAAAAAAAAAATTAACTAGTTTAACATTTATTAATTAAATATCTTTCCTTCTTCCAATTAAATTTTTTGCATGGTAAACTTCTCCTAAAGCCAGAGGCAGCGAGAGTGACTCAAATTTCTCTCGAATTTCCAACAAAAAATGCTTGTCTCAGGCAGCCTCTAATGTCAAGTTTCTAATTTACAGCAAATATAAAAACTCTCATCAGACTTACAATGTACATAATCAACCCACAATTACCTAAATCCTAAACACGTTGCTCACATGGGCAACACTAGTACCTCACATGGGCAGCATTAGTGGTTTACTAAACACAAGGCTCATGGGCAACACTAGTAGTTAACTATACACATGATTGCTCTCATAGGCTGCACTTGTGATTTACTAAACACAAGGCTTACATGACCAGAACTAGTGGTTTACTAAACACATGGCTCTCATGGGCAGCATTAGTAGTTAACTATACACATGATTGCTCTCATAGGCTGCACTTGTGATTTACTAAACACAAGGCTTATATGAGCAGCACTAATAGTTTACTAAATACATGGCTCTCATGGCCAACACTTGTGGTTTACTAAACACATGGTGCTCATGTACAGCACTAGTGGTTTACTAAACACACAGCTCTCATGTACAGCACTAGTGGTTTACTAAACACATGGCTCTCATGTACAGCACTAGTGGTTTACTAAACACATGGCTCTCATGTACAGAACTAATGGTTTACTAAACACATGGCTCTCATGTACAGCACTAGTGATTTACTAAACACATGGCTCTCATGGACAGCACTAGTGGTTTACTAAACGCATGGCTCATGTACAGCACTAGTGGATTACTAAACACATGGCTCTCATGGGCAGCACTAGTGGTTTACTCTAGACAGTGACTAGTATTGAACAACCCAGACACACAAAGCTTCTTTGTTTATTCAGGCGCCAGTAGAATTTTTCATACACATAAATGACGATGGAAGTGAAGCCAACAGTGAAACTGGTCTACAAGAGTACCTGTGTAGGCTTGACATCACAGAAAACTGTCATCTGCTTAAACAAAGGTGCCTACTGTTAAGGAACATGGGTTGTGTTCTCTCAGTGGCTGGCAAACCATGTGCCATGATACTGGTAAATGCAGCCTCACCCTGCATCTGAAAACAATTACAAAAATATGAATTAATATATTCATAAAAAGCCTACAAAGTATGAAGATGGCATACTGCTTTATCCTGGCTAATGTAAAACATACAATGCACATGCATATTCCATGAGAGGTGCAATGTGGCTGTCAGGTGAGAAACAATGGAAGACACATGCAGACACACACACATATGCATGGCTCAAGAGCAATCTTGCACTGTACTGATTACTGAATTTCTACCGTAGTTTCTCAATACATATCTCGCTTAAAGATGCATGAAAGACCAGTGAAATACATAACATACACATCCATTAAGCAACTTTACACTGCTTACACTTTTATATCCATATCTCTCATTGTGAATGGTAAACACACAAAAGCTGTTAAAACTGCCTTCAAAATGCACACTTCACTGCTATTAAAACCACTTAACATAGAAGCCCATTTCCCACACACACCTGGTCACTCTGCATCTTCAAAACTCAACATTAATGGTAACCTAGACTTAAAATACAATCATCAGAACCCATAGGCACCAAACAAGAAGTAAGTATTACTTTGGTAAGCAAAAAAATCTAGATAACAGGTTTGAAGAAACAGTGCAGAAACTGACAAGAAAAAATAAATTAAGAATGTAGAAGATGCATTCAAAGAGAGCAATATATCAGTTATTTGATAAATGAGACACTTGTGCAACATTTGAGTATCTTTATTCTGGATACATTTTGCCAGCCAGTGGCTGCCTCAGTCCAATACAATCAAAATTGACAGACTGAACACATCAACTCCAGGATGAGGGACTGATTACCTCAAACTCCTGCTCACCCTTCACCTTTCTCTGTATTAGACTGAAGCAGCCACTGACTGGTGAAACATTTCCAGAATAAAAATACCCAAATGCTGCCCAAGTGTCTCATTTGATTAACTTGTTGGTTTTCTAAACCATTTATTCACATCAACTATTTGGCCTGCAATGTACTTCTGCTTTTATGCTAATATATTCACTCAGAGGATAAGTGGCACTGCCAGTTAACTTACCCCTCAGGGCATCATCTGAACACACTTGCACACATAAGGCTAAATCTATTTTTAAACTCTGAAAATAGAGGGACTTCCAAAATATGAAGTACTCAGCTAGAGGACAATGAAAATGGTTAGGTACAATATTTAACATGTTCCATTAACTAGCCTCTTCAAGGGGGGGGGGCTCCTTGGCATGGTGAAGAGGCTCTTGGTCTGAGGAATTAGACCTGTTGGTCTCCTTCCTCAGACCAAACCTAATTACCCCCAATCCCCCCTTCCCTACTCCATCCTCCCTTTTTCATTACCTCCTCCTCCCCCCCCATCCCTCCCTTATTCCCTTCCTCTTTTTGGCCTTTGGGATTCATCCCACAGGCCTACTGGTTCCTAGGTAGGGGGAAGGGTACTGGGGTCAATCCTATTCCGTTGAGGTTCTTGGCGGTGGTGTAGTTTGCCATGGAATCTGGATCGCCTGGGGATATCCCATTCCCTCTCCGGTCTTCTGGGGGGTGGCTTTGGGTGTCTTTCGGGCGACAGGTGTATCTCTGGAGGCCGCCTTTCGGATTCTGGGGGTGGTGGCCAAAGGAGGTATGCTTTGTGGCGGATATCCGGCCGCCCTCTCTTTTGTCCACCGAGGTAGCTCGGCAGATGCGAGGCTGCTATCCTGGATTGCTGGTTTACTGGCATGAAGGGTAGGGTATGGCACGGGTTCCATGCAGCATCTGCACTACTTGCGGTGTTGAGGTCCTCTTGGGCACGGAGGGTGATTTCCAGCCCTTTCATTCCTCCCCGTTCCCCCTTTTTCTGTTTTTTGTTTTTATTTTATTTTCTTCTTTCTTTTTTTTTCTTAAAAACAAAAAGAAAGAAGTAACCTAACCATGGAAGCCCTAGTCCATGAACCCGCTACCCCCGGGCCCCTTACTGATACCGTACCCAGTTCTGACCCTGCCTCGTTTTTTGACCACTCTTTGAACACTCCTAATGCCCCTGTACCTCTTGGTGGTGCTGTTTCATCACCAGCTTCAGGTACCGGGGTCTTGACTGACTCCACCGATTTGTCTGACCTCCACCTTCCTTTGACTATGCTTCCAGTCTCTCCCTCTATGGTGCGGCAATTTCCGAATCGCCAGCCCGTCCCACATCGGACCAAATCTGGTCCCACTTCTAAACACCAACAATAATCTCCTGATGATGTTACTTCGTTACCTTCCCATTCTACTCGGAAAAGACCGACACATCATGCACTCCCTCTCCATGCTCAGTTTCGGACCACATAATGGACTAAATTCTTTACTTTACGACCGACTTCTTCTATTGCCTATCTTTCCAACCATAGTATTGGCAAAGCGCTCCTACGCCACATTGGTAGAGATATTTCATGCTCTCAAGAGTGGTACACGCATCGTCACTGTCCAGAATGCTACCCAAGCTCATGATCTTTCTCTCCTTTCACATATCGATACTATTCCTATCACTATTGAAAAACATCATTCTCTCAATTCTTGTAGTGGTACTGTCATTCTGCCCCATACCATAGTCCAACAGAATTTCCAGACATGTGGCAATGACATTCTTGAACAGCTGTAACTCCAGGATCTCCTAATCCTCAAAGTAGACACTTATGTCCTTCCTGCTCGCGAGCGGAGATGATACCCTTGCAATGAGACTCGATTAACTTTCGACAGCCGTGAACTCCCGTCCTCTGTTTATGTCGCAGGACATCGGTTACAAGTTCGAAAGGTGATCCATACACCGCAACAGTGTAGAAATTGTTGGCGATTTGGTCACCCAGCAAAATATTGCAGATCTATAGCCGAATGCCCAGTCCGTGGTGCCGATGACCATTCTAATACGTCTTGCAGTCGACCTCCCTCTTGCCTTAATTGTCATGAGGCTCACCCTTCGTACTCTCGCTGTTGCCAGGTCTACTTAAATGAGCATGAAATCCGTTGCCTCAAAGAAGCAGAAGGTCTCCCTTATGCTATGGCAGTTTCTCATCTCTGCCTCCAAGGGAGACTACCCCGTGTTTCTTATTCTCATGTTTCAAAACGTCCCCCCACTTCTGGGGTCCCATCTTCTGCAGCCTCCTCTGTTGTTACCCCTCCCATAGTCACTCCTGTATCTAATTCTTTTGCTGTCCTGGGCTCAGATGTCCCTACTTCAACACCCCAGTCTGTTCTGACATCTTTGAGTTCTCACTCACAAGCCCCGGTATCGACAAGATCTCGTATGACACCTACCAATTGCCCCTCTACTTCTCAAAAGTCCAAAAAATCCCCTTTGCTCAAATCTTCCCTGCCCCCTCCTTCCCTTCTTCTGCCCCCACATTTTACCTTTCCAGTCTCTGTACCTGGTTCTTCCCCTCTCACTGGCTCTATTACAAGTGTGGAGGTTCACCCCCCTCCTCATTCTGTGCTTCCCTCCCCTGTCCCCTCCCAAGTCCCTCCCTCTTCTGCCGCCTCCCAGGTTTCTGCCTCTTTTGTCCCCTCCCACACTTCTCCAGTTCCCAACACGCTTTTGTCCCCCCCTACTTAGTACAGTCCATGACTGTCCCAATCTTTACTCACCCTCCTCCTTCTATCTCCAATATTTCTCCCATACAACGTCTTTGAATTCAGAAACACTTGACGCTATTTCAGAATATATTGCAGAGACTAAACGTTCAATGGACACTGATCCACTTCCTGTTCCTTCTCTTCCCTCTCCTCCATCTCCAAAACTCCATTCTTCGCAACGCCCCGTTCCTTCGCTGCTTGAACGTCTTCCGATTGCCACCGCACGTAGACTTTTCTAACCCCTCTACTCCATAGGTGCCCTTCCCTGCGGATTCCTGGTATTTTCCTCATTGCCAATCATGGCCTATTTACAGTGGAATATCCGGTGCCTCGGGTAATCGGGGTGAGCTTCAGATGTTGCTTTCCAGGTTTTCCCCTGTTGGTGTTTGCTTATAAGAACCAAAATTACACTCAGCTGTCTTCCAACCTATCTCAGGCTATAATTTATTCTGTTCTTCGGATCCTGTCTCAGATGGGACCTTTAATGAAAGTGCCCTTCTTCTACGCAATGATATTCCGTACTGTCAACTACATGTATTTGTCCATACCTCGCTGCATTACACTGCAGCCCGTATCCACTTGAATAAGTGGTTTACAATATGTTCTTTATATCTCTCTCCTTCTCGGGCATTTTCTATCCCAGATTTTGCCTTTCTTGTTTCATCCTTACCACCACCAGTTCTGTTACTTGGCAATTTTAATGCCCACCATTTCCTGGGGGGATCTCATTGTGACTCACGTGACATCCAGTTGGAGGCTTTTCTTGCCTCTCACCCCCTCCGTGTTTTAAATATGGGTACTCCCATCCATTTTGATCCTCGTACTCATACTCTCTCTCTTGCATCGGTCTATCGGTCTGCTCTTCCTCCACTGCACTAGACTTCGCCTTGTCTGTTCTACTGGACTTACATGGCAGCGATCATTTTCCAATAATTCTTACTTCTCCTTCATATTCACCACCTTTCCATAGCCCTTGCTGGCGATTTGATCGGGCAAATTGGGACATTTACTCGCAGCTCACTGCTTTTAGTGAGGTTCCTTCTTCATCCTCCATTGATGAGCTCCTACACCTCTTCTCGACGTCAGTTTTAACCGCAGCTTTTCATTCTATACCCCAAACCTCAGGGAGGCAATCTCAGAAGTGCATGCCTTGGTGGTCTCCTGCTTGTGCTCGTGCAGTGCGTTTGAAACGCGCTGCATGGGGCAGGTACCGGTACAATAGAACCGATGAGAGACTTCTTGATTTTAAGCAGAAGCGTGCGCGCGCTCACCATGTCATCCGTGACGCTAAACGCACTTGCTGGTGAGATTATGTTTCCACCATCACCTCTGCTTCCTCTATGAGTGCAGTCTGGAAAAAAGTGAGGAAATTGAGTGGTAAATACTCTCCTGACCCGGCTTCTGTTCTACGGGTCGCCGGTGTTGATATAGCAAA